ATATTGGTTGCACATTGGTTGAATATTGGTTGAATATTGGTTGAACATTGGTTGAATATTGGTTGAACTTTGGTTGAATATTGGTTGAATATTGGTTGAATATTGGTTGAACATTGGTTGAATATTGGTTGAATATTGGTTGAACATTGGTTGAATAGGTTGAATATTGGTTGAATATTGGTTGAATATAGGTTGAATATAGGTTGAATATTGGTTGAATATTGGTTGAACATTGGTTGAATATTGGTTGAATATTGGTTGAACATTGGTTGAATATTGGTTGAATATTGGTTGAACATTGGTTGAATAGGTTGAATATTGGTTGAATATTGGTTGAATATAGGTTGAATATAGGTTGAATATTGGTTGAACATTGGTTGAACATTGGTTGAATATTGGTTGAATATTGATTGAACATTGGTTGCACATTGGTTGAATATTGGTTGCACATTGGTTGAATATTGGTTGCACATTGGTTGAATATAGGTTGAATATAGGTTGAATATTTCTCATCTGCATGCACATTAAATTGTGATTTTTGAGTGTCAACCAAAGATTTCTTTGTATCTTGTCTAATCACAAGATCTTTATTTCCATCACATGGCTACATTTTTGGCACATATAATGTGATATAAAATGTTTGAATTTGACATTAAATCACCATGATTGCATTCAATGTAGGTGACATATAGTTTACCTCAAATATGGGTAATTTCGAATGACTGCAAATGAAGCTGTGTTGGAATGATACAATTTTATTGTTTGTTATCATATATGTAAAATAATGCAACTTTATATGTAATATATGTAAAATAAATTTGTTTCAGGAGATGTGCTGGTAGAGCTTGGTAACCACTTGCTTAATATGTTGGTACAGAATGCAGAGAAAAAGTCTGCTCCCTCTGAAAAGCAGATTCAGAAGTTATTAGGCTTGATTCAGAAAACAGTTAGTGAATCACCAGACTGGGTAGATTCTTCAGATGTGTCTTTGCCCACTCCATGCCATGTGATGCTAGACAATGCACAACAACAATCTATACCATCCAAAGACTTTGAAAGTGATATTTCCTTTAAGCAGAATGTGGCGGGAGCTGCTGCACATGGTTCACAATGCTTACGGTGTCCAGGTCCCTGCTCACAGCAGAGAGAATCATTGGCTGCACCTACTCCAGGTCTCTGCTCGCAGGAGAGTGAATCATTGGCTGCACCTACTCCAGATCCCTGCTTGCAGCAGAGAGAATCATTGGCTGCACCTACTCCAGGTCCCTACTCACAGCAGAGAGTATCATTGGCTGCACCTACTCCAGGTCCCTGCTCGCAGCAGAGAGAATCATTGGCTGCACCTACTCCACGTCCCTACTCACAGCAGAGAGTATCATTGGCTGCACCTACTCCAGGTCCCTGCTCGCAGCAGAGAGAATCATTGGCTGCACCTACTCCAGGTCCCTGCTTGCAGCAGAGAGAATCATTGGCTGCACCTACTCCAGGTCCCTGCTCACAGCAGAGAGAATCATTGGCTGCACCTACTCCAGGTCCCTGCTCACAGCAGAGAGAATCATTGGCTGCACCTACTCCAGGTCCCTGCTCACAGCAGAGAGAACCATTGGCTGCACCTACTCCAGGTCCCTGCTCACAGCAGAGAGAATCATTGGCTGCACCTACTCCAGGTCCCTGCTCACAGCAGAAAGAATCATTGGCTGCACCTACTCTAGGTCCCTGCTCACAGCAGAGAGAATCATTGGCTGCACCTACTCCAGGTCCCTGCTCACAGCAGAGAGAATCATTGGCTGCACCTACTCCAGGTCCCTGCTCACAGCAGAGAGAATCATTGGCTGCACCTACTCTAGGTCTATATTCACAAACTATTGTAGGAGAGAATTGCACAAATCCAATACAGACAGCTTGGTTAAAATATATGCAAACACAGAATGCTCAAACATTTTGGCTTCCCAAAGATT